AGCCTGCAAACCACAATGAATGTGGGTGGTTGGCGGGGGCTTTGGTGTGGTTTGCTACTTCTTTTCTATCAAACACCTGTCGTCCTTATCCCCCCTTCTTCTTTTTTAAGTTTGTTACTCTCTTGTAACACTTCTAATCTTCTGGCGCTCATATGACCGGATGCAGTTGAGAGCACCGTAAAACCTCTACTTAAAAATAAAGACTAATGAATTGGTATTGAAGCCAAATTGTTTATCTCTAGTTAAAACACAGACAAGTACGGATGTTCTAAACTCAGTTTAAAAAAACCACACATTGATATGCATTTGACGAGGACCAAAAAGCTGAGACCAATATAGATGTGTGTTTTTGCAACAAACACTCAGGCAAAAATGATGCATCTGAATCGTTTGGATTTATAGAAATAGAACACCCGGCAAATATTTCATATTTGTTGCCAACTGGCAAATATACGCAGACTGCTATTCTAGACTTATCCGTCTTGAGTTTAACGATCATCATAATGTAAAGAACAACATTACAAACGTAGATCGAATCCAACTACACAGATAAAAAAAAACACAAAAACAACTCGTCCAACAGGTAAGTTTTGATAGGCCTGATTTTGAAACTCTTCCATTTTTGCTTGATATGAAGTAAAAAAAGAAACTAAATACTACGTTGTAGCCCATTAAGGCACATTCATGAGGTAATTTCAGAGGCAGAGATCAAAATAAAACGGGGGTTAACGCTTTGATAAGTGTCATGTCCAAGAGCTATAACATTTACTTCTTATCGGTATAAAGTGTGCAGCATTCCTTTATTTTTTAAAAATCGCAGCTTAGAAAAATGATCAACTCTCACCCATATTTGGACACTGTAAAAAAAAAAAGATAAAACAATAACCCTCCATAGTGAAGGAAACATAGAAAAAATTACCAGACTTTGGAAGGAAGCACTTTAAAGCACACATTTTGATTTTACTTAACGTGAGTTAAAAATGAAATATTTACTTCCTCGAAGGCGTTTGAGTTACCGAGTCATGATTATGTGAGCTTACATTTGGTGTTTCGGATTTCCTTACTGAAAAGTGTGCGTGTGTGTGTGTGTGTGTTGTGTGTGAGTGAGAGAGAGCGAGAGAGAGAGAGAGAGAGAGAGGGGGGGAGGGAGAGAGAGAGAGAGAGAGAAAGAGAGAAAGAGAGAGAGAGAGAGAGAGAGAGAGAGAGAGAGAGAGAGAGAGAGAGAGAGAGAGAGTGTGGCCTTCAGCGTCGATGCTATGCTATTTTCTTCTTAGTTTTTTGCTGCATAGAACCATTCTAGCCTAGTCTCTAGTTTCCCAATATTATGTCCTGCTATTCATTCTCCTTCTGTTTTCTGCCCACTCACGTCATGACCAAAGGGAAAACTCCACTTATGACACGCAAAAAGGAGCAGTGGCGTTGCACGTTACGAGACATCCAATCTGCCGTGTTTGCGTGCCTTAACGGCTTAGGCCAGGCCCTGGCGGTCACGTCGGGATGCGGGATGTCTGCCAGCCAGCAGAACAAACCTTGTCGAGCCGGCCAAAAACGGGCTAACGAGGACAGCCGTTTCATCCCGGAGCAAAACCTGCATAACAGTATTGACAGAACACGCAGCCTGCACACACAGATACAAACAGAGAATCCTTCACGAGTAGATGGAAGGAGGGAGCGAGCGCACTTTTAGAGACAGTCGTGCCCGGAGGCCTTGCAGTTAGAAGGTCCCATCAGGAAATACTTTTCTTTCGTAGATAGTACTTTTCTCCACAGATATTTTCATGTCGTGTGAGTCTATATTTGAACAAAGGGCTAAGAAAGACGCTACTTCCGTTTAGTGTGAATGTAACGCCTTCACTTGAGAGAGAAAAAATAGTAAGTCAAACTTTGCATATTTGCAGAGGAAGAGGGACTAACACTGATGGAAGGCCCTCAAAAGGCTGAAAAAATAGGCGCACCTGGTTTTGATTCCATCCCATTTCAGTCGAAACGTCCTTTTTCGTAATAACAATTTACATCGTACCTTTTATTCGCAAACTACTATAGAATTAATCCCAGACAGAAACATTCAGCTTCACACAGAAATCTAAATTATTCCAATCAAAAACAAAATCTGTCAGATTTCAAAGATATCTAATATAGGCATGTACCTGTGTTTTCTCAGCACATCCTCTCTTTTTTACGCTTGCGTCTAACTCTACAGAGGATACATGTATTTAACAAACCTCGAGATGGTAGTCACTAAGAAATGCAGTTGCGCCCATAAAAATGTTGAAATCCTTTTTTTTTAGTGAAGCCTCCTTCTGTTATCTCGGATGGATCCTGATAATTGCATACATAAACTGAACGTGTTTGCATTGTAAAGCGGAGCAGTTACTCGACACTCAGGCTTTAAAGGAAAAGGTAGGCCACGCAAAAGATGGACTGGGTGATAGTA